GTAGGAGGGAGTGGTACAGGAGTTGGCCGAGATGGGTATTTGGAGGGAGTCAATGAGTCTTGAGAAACCTAGACAACTATTTCTGAAGCTGGCCCCTCTGCGCTCCGCTCCTCTATCCGGCAGCATTTCCTGGTCCTCGCATCTCTGCTCTGTGCCTCCCACCTGCTACTGCTTCACAATCTTCCCCCAGGAGGGCTCTCATACTCGCCTGCTCAGCTCCTGGCTTCCAGTTTCTTTTCCTGTGGTGTGTCTACCGTCCTGCAAACTTGGATGGGCAGCAGGTGAGAGGAACTCCTTTGAGAGGGAGTAGGCTTCCGGAAGGAGACTTAAGGGAATCCTGTTAACTGTCACATGTTTCCAAACCTGCTGGGGCTGCTATCCATACAGGCTGCCTCTAGTCCAGGCTCCATCCTTAGAATTCCTTATCCCTGCACTGGTGCTGACAAACCAGAAGCTACCTCTGACCACCAAGACTCCTGGGAATGGTGAGTACAGGGTAAAGGCAGGCTAGTGGCAGAAGTATGTCCTGGCTGGAGGCTTGGCACTTAATATTGCGTATTGTAGAGAGAGGTCTTTGGGGTCATAACTGGCATCAGTTAGGACAGGAGAGCACTGAGCCTCCATTCCATTTACACCTCTCTGTACCCCAAACTTGCAGCTTCCCTCTCCCTGCGCCTGTGTAGTCTGACAAGCTGCCATGGCCTGGAGCTCTGGAACACTTCTCTCCGAGAGGTGAGTGCTTGAGAAAAGATGGTGGAAGGACTGGATGGTCCCAGCGTGGAGATGCTCTTATTTCCACTATGCAGATACTGATACGACAGGGAAGGAGCAATTCCCAGCACCCACCCAGCAGCTAACAACTGTCTCTAACTCCAGTATCTGACACCCTCACACAGACATACATGCAGGCAAAATACCAATGCCAGTGAAATAAAAGGAGATAAATGACAAAAAAAGAAGAAAAAGAAACTCCAAGCCGAAGTTAACTTGATTGAGCATGAAGTTTTCTATCCATCCTCTCCTTTGCTCCACCAGGTGTCGGGGGCAGTGGTGGTATCCGGGCTGCTGCAGGGCACAATAGGACTTCTAGGGGTGCCTGGCCATGTGTTCCCCCACTGTGGGCCACTGGTGCTCGCTCCCAGCCTGGTTGTAGCAGGGCTCTCTGCCCACAAGGAGGTGGCCCAGTTCTGTTCCGCTCACTGGGGCCTGGCCTTGCTGTAAGTGAGTCCTGAGAGGTGTGGGGATGGTACCCAGCGGGTGTGTAGACCTGGGGAGGGCAGAGCTTCCAGATTATCAGATTCCTTAGCCACCTGGGTAGGGATAGCAGGTTTTAGATTTGGAATCCGAGGCTTTTCTAAAACTCATTCAGTCTCCCTGATATTTGCAGTCACGTGCGATGGTTCCTCAGGGTACCTCCCTACCCCTTCCACGAGGAGATTCTTCCCTGGGACATCCTTTTATGATATTCTGCTCACCTGCATTGCCATCATTCGTGATTCTGTTGCTTCTGACCCGCAGAACTCCTCTCTTTCCTAGGCTCATCCTGCTCATGGTGGTGTGTTCTCAGCACTTGGGCTCCTGCCAGGTACGGCTGTGCTCCTGGAGGCCAGCCTCAGCTTCTCCCGCTCACATTTATGTTCCCGTCTTCCGACTTCTTTCGGTATGTGGGGGCTCTGGGCAGATGGAGTGAGAAGGGCTGACAGGTGAGGTGGCCCACACCTGTAACTCCACACTGAGCAGGAGTTCACGTTCTGCTATTTAGGAAGTTTCAGCCCAGTCTGTGGACAACAACAACAAACAACCAAACCAAATCAAAACATAGGACATTGCTGCTCTTCCAGAGGACTCCAGTTTGGCTCCCATTACATATGTGGCTGGCTCATAACTGCCTGTAATTCCTGCTCCAGAAGCCAAGTCCCTCTTCTGGCCTTCAAGCACTGCCCCCACCCCATACAAATAAAAATAAAACATGGGGGTGCACGCCTTTAACCCTAGCGCTTGGAAGGCAGAGGCAGGCAGATTTCTGTAAGCTTGAGGCCAGCCTGGCTTACATAGAGAGTTAAAGGATTGCCAGGGTTACAGAGAGACCCTATCTCAAAAATCAAATCAAATCGTTGAAACAGACGAAAGCGTGTGGGACTGACATGGAATGCTCTATTGGCCCCCTGCTTCTGAGTTTCTGGTGGCCCCGCCCAGGCTGACTCAGAAGGTGCTGGGGGGGGAGCCTTTTTCCATCTCACTGTTGTCCTTCAGGTGCTTACCCCTGTGGCCTGTGTGTGGATCATCTCTGCCCTTCTGGGTCTGAGTGCTAACCCCCTGCATCTGTCTGACCCCACCGAGGCACCATGGTTTTGGCTGCCTCATCCAGGTAGGTTTTCTTCTATGCTCCCATTCTCTCACTCCAATCAAGGCTTCTGTTTCTTTGAACTCACAATTTAATAGACTTCAGCCAGGTGAGGTGGCACATATCTGTAACTCCAATACTTGGGAATCTGGGGCAGGAGATCAGGAGTTCAAGGTCTCCGCAGCTGCTTATCAAGTTTAAGGCCAACCTGGGCTAAATGAGACCCTGTCTCAAAAGACAAGTTACACAAAAGATTGAATGGGGCTCACCTCTCACGTTGGAATTAAATCTGTGTTTTCTCGAAACACAGGTGGAGAGATTGCCAACTTGAGGGGTGGTGGCCCCCCCACTTCAGTGCAGGTGTATTATTTGAGTCAGTATCGGGAGACGTTATACCGTGTATACTTACTCTCTACCCACTGCTTACTCGTGATATCCCTGGGCAATTAACAAGTTTACATTATCAGCCTCTGTGGACATTACTGTAGAGTTACTGCCTTGAGTCAGTGTTTGGGAAATTTTGTCATTCATGTTTATTTGTCATGGTGGTAGGGGTCAAACAACTTCGAACGCTGTACATACTCTGCAAGTGCCTTATGCTGAACTCTACCTCAGTCCTTCATTTAACAGTTTAATAATGGCCCATTGAGTTCTGATGAGGCCCTAAGTACATGGTAGGCGTAGTAATGAGTACAGGAATAACAATGTCTGCTCCAAGGAGCTGACAGTCTATTGGGGGTATATTGATGGGAATCAAATAAGCACCTCAGTAAATTCGAATTTGTCATTGTAGTAAGAGTACCTAAGTAAAACTAGAATTTGGGGTGAGAGAAAATAATGGGGAATTTGATGCAATTAGTGGGGTTGAGAGAAGTGTTTTTTTTTTAACTTGGGTTTTTTCTTTTTTTTTTTTTTTTTTTTGGTTTTTCGAGACAGGATTTCCCTGTGGCTTTGGAGGCTGTCCTTGAACTCACTCTGTAGACCAGGCTGGGGTTTTTTTTTAGAAGCCTTCTTCTTAAATATATTTTTTATTTCTTGACATGTTCCATACCATGCATCTTGATCATATCTAGTGCTTCCTCCCACTGCCCACAGCGCATCTCCATCCCATCTTCATGTCCTTTAAAAAACTGACTCATTGAGTGCTGCCTGTATGCTCCTGGGTATGCGGCCATCTGCTAGAACAAGGGCAACCTACTAGGGTCTACCTCTGAAGAAAAATGACTCTCCCTTCCCTAACATAGCTCCTCAGCTAGGGGTGAAGCCTCACGAGCCTTTACCTCACTCATGCTTCTGTGCTGGAATCTTGACTGGCTTGATCTTGTACAGGTCTTGTGCATGTAACCGTAGCTGCTGTGAGTTCCTGAGTGCAATCAATGGCCATGTCCTGTCACGGCACTGCTCCCCATCCCCCAGTTCTTACATCCACCCCCCCCACTCCCCCCCTCCTTTTTTTGGAAACAGGATCTCACATAGTTTAGGTTGACCTTGAACTTGCATTGTAGTCAAGGATGGCCTTAAACTTCCTGTACCTTGCAAGTGTTGTAATTACAGGGATGCAGCACCATACTTGAACGTGGTAGCAGAAATAATCCTTGGAAGAAGTGAGATGTAAGAGGTGGGGAGAGAAGGGGCTAGTTGGACAGGACACAGGAGACAACAGCTTGCAAGGCAAACACCACATGAAGGGCCCTGTGGCAGGAACACAGCAAGTCTAGGGCCTGAAATAAGGCTAGTGTGTTTGAAGTAAAGTGGAATGTGATGGGAAATGTGACTAGGAGCAGAAGTGAGAGTCAGACCAATGGTGACAGTGAAGAGAAGGATCTCTCTCCTACAGTTCAGTGGTTTTGCCCCACAGTATTATCCTGAAAAGCTAGAGCATCTGGGATTCTTGTGGAACAGGCATTTGGAAGCAGAAGAATGCTCTAGGCTTGAATCCGGTCTCTAGATGACTCCTTCTTCTTCCTCAGGTGAATGGGATTGGCCCTTGTTGACGCCCAGGGCCCTGGCTGCAGGCATCTCCATGGCTTTGGCAGCCTCCACCAGTTCCTTGGGTTGTTATGCCCTGTGTGGCCAGCTGTTGCATTTGTCTCCTCCACCCCCACATGCCTGCAGTCGAGGGCTGAGCCTGGAGGGGCTGGGCAGTGTTCTGGCAGGGCTGCTGGGGAGCCCCCTGGGCACTGCATCCAGCTTCCCAAACGTAGGCACAGTGAGCCTTTTCCAGGTACGTGGATCTGAGACAGGACTGAGGGGACTGGAGGTACAGGGCAGGAGCTCATACTGATCAGCTGTCCGCTGGACCAGTTTTCAGTCAGGCAGCACACTGGGGGAGGGGACTAGAAGTACTACGTGTATGAATGTAGAGAAACAGGAAATTGGTATGTCAGGTGCATCAGGAGCTCTGCCAAGGCTCCTTACACGGAAGAATGAGTCAGAGAAAGCCCTGTTCTCTTGGGAACCTCATTAAGAAAGGATTATATAGCAGAAGTTGAGAGTAGTAAGCACTATCATGAAAGCAGTGGTGTATGGGCTTAGCAAAGAGGTACCTTTGGCTAGAGTGGATGGAATGCTTAGAAGAGTCACATTTAAACTGGGTTACAAAGGATGAAAAGAAGTGGTCAGGCAAAGATCTGGCATGGTCCAAGGAGATGGGTGTTTTCCGGTGTCTCTTCTTCATGCAGACTGGCTCACGGCGAGTAGCCCACCTAGTGGGGCTGTTCTGCATGGGGCTTGGGTTCTCCCCAAGGCTGGCTCAGCTATTCACAAACATTCCACTACCTGTGCTTGGTGAGTAAACAGATGTGAAGACAGGTATTAGAATACTTTTTGAACTAACCAGGTGGCTAGGCTGGTGTCATTTCCTTCTAAATAACTTCTCTGAATGGATGTGGATATGTGCTCTTGTTTTCTTAGCCCAACTGAGTCTCTTGCAGAATCAGAAACAAGTCTGTTGGTCATCTTTCCTCATTACAACCTGCCTGTTCTACAAACCCTGAGCCTTGCCCTCTTCCCATTGCCTTGTTTTCCTCTACACGAGGCAGGTGGGGTACTGGGAGTGACCCAGGCTGTAGTTCTGTCTGCTGGATTCTCTAGCTTCCACCTGGCTGACATCGACTCAGGGCGAAATGTCTTCATTGTGGGCTTCTCCATCTTTATGGCCTTGCTCCTGCCAAGGTGGCTCCGGGAAGCGCCAGTCATGCTCAACACAGGTAGGTGGGGTGGAGAAGAAAAGAGGAGCGGGGTTGAGGCTTTAGACCAGTGGCTCTCAATCTGTAGGTCACGACTCCTTTGGGGCTGGAATGACTCTCTCATAGGGGGCGCCTAAGATCATCAGAAAGCACAGTTATTTATGATTCACAACAGTACCAGAACTGCAGTTATGAAGTAGCAGCAAAAACAATTTTATGGTGGTCATGGTGGGGTCACCACAACATGAGGAGCTGTATTAAAAGGTCACAGCATCAAGAAAGTTGGAACCACTGCTTTAGGCTCTCTGAATTCTTGGTCTCACAGTGGGATTTTGTACATACTTCATTCATTCATTTAACAAATAATCGTTGAGCTCTGTGCTCCTGTTTTTGTGCTTTTGTCTTGGTTTTATTTCTGTTGCTGTAGTAAAGCCCTGAGACCAAAGGCAACTTGGCGGGGAGGTTCATTCAGTTAACAATTCCAGGTCTCATTCATCACTGAGGGAAGCCATGACAGGAACACAAGGGAGAATCCTGAAGGCAGGCCTGCTTGTTAATCTACACATATTACCTTCAAAGGAGCAACTCACTTCACAGCCAAAGATGTACAGCTGGGCCCCGGAGGATGCTGCCTCACACTCAGCTAACTTTCTTACACACTTCAAGATCATATGTCTTGGCTACCTGATGGGCCAGGCCCTACTAAGTCAACCCCAGATACAGACAATCCCCCACAGACTTCCTCACAAGCCAATTGACCTAGGCAATTCCTCAATTGGGACTCTCCTCTCCGATGACTCCAGGTGGTGACAAGTTGACAGTAAAGTTAAAGTTACAAAACTCCTCCCCTTAAACACATTAAAAAAAAGCTAAGTAGGTCAAGATGCAAAAGTACTTCTAGGTTGTATAGTATTATGAAAGAGGTGACTTGCACAGGAACATAACAAGAAAGTTTAAGATAAGTGCTGTGAGCAGGGCATGAGGGATCATGCCTTCCTTTAATCCCAGCCCTCGGGAAGCTGGTGGGATCTCTGTGATTTTGAGGCCAGTAGTCTACACAGTGAGTTCCAGGCCAGTAAGGGGTACATAAAGAGACCCTGACAAAAGCGAAAACAAAAACAAAGGACCTGTGGTACTTAAGGACAAGAGTAGCAGCCGGGCGTTGGTGGCACACGCCTTTAATCCCAGCACTCGGGAGGCAGAGGCAGGCGGATCTCTGTGAGTTCGAGGCCAGTCTGGTCTACAAAGTGAGTTCCAGGACAGTCTCCAAAGCTACAGAGAAACCCTGTCTCGAAAAACCAAAAAAAAAGGACAAGAGTAGCTTCTTCCTGAGGTGATTCAGTACAATTGGTCTTTGAGGAGGGAAAAACTTAAACCTATTTGACAAAAGACCATTTCTGTGTGTGAGAGACACAGTATCATTTTGGAGCCTAGAATGACTTCAAACTCTTGGCAATCCTCCTGCTTCAGATTCCCAAGTGACAAGATTATAGATGTAAGCCACATGGACAACTGATAAGATCATTCTTGATCATGTTTCCATTATATACAAAGAGAAAAGCTAGGATTAGGGGACAGAAGTAGTATATCCTGAAATCCACAAACAGCATGGTTTATTTAGAGCAGTGGTGTTCAACTGGGAGTGTTTTGTTTCATGTGGAACATCTAGCAATGTCTGGAGACTTTTTTTGGATGTCACACATAGGAGAATGAGGATTGCGTTTTGTATGTTTGCTTGTTTGGAGACGGGGTTTCTCTGTGTTAACAGTCCAGACTGTTCTGGAACTCTATTTGTAGGCTGGCCTCAAACTCACAAAGATCTTACTGCTTCTGCCTTCCCTGTGGTGGGATTAAAGGCATGAGCCCCCATGTCTAGTGAGAAAAAGGGCTGTTACAGGCATTCAGGCTTAGAGAGGTTGTTAAGCACCCTTGGATGCATTGGACAGCTCCTTACAACAGAATTAAGTGTTAGTAGGACTGAAGTTGGGAAGCTAGAACACCAAAAGTCAGAAGTGGGAGAGACTGGGGCTTTTTAATGTCAAACTTTCCAGAGAAAGGGAGCCTTAGACTAAGGGTATCTGGTGGGTGCTTAGAAAACACAATGTTAGCTGGGCGTTGGTGGCGCACGCCTTTAATCCCAGCACTTGGGAGGCAGAGGCAGGTGGATCTTTGTGAGTTCCAGGCCAGCCTGGTCTACAAGAGCTGGTTCCAGGACAGCCTCCAAAACAATATAGAGAAACCTTGTCTCGAAAAACCAGATAAAAAAACCAAAACCAAAACCAAAACCAACGAACCAACCAACCAAACAGAAAACCCCTACAGTATTAAGAAAAGTTCCTATGGGAAGGGCCTGAGGGTGGGAAATGGAGTTTGTAGAGGGACAAGTGGAATGGAATGATTGCTTAGTGAAACCTGTCCCTGGTTCAAGACTTAGTTTAGGTCTAAATGGGAAGGGAAGACACATTGACTTGGACAGTATCAGTTACCTTCCTGCCTGGCCCCAACCTTTTGTAGGCTGGAGCCCTTTGGATATGTTCCTGCGTTCTTTGCTGGCAGAACCAATTTTTCTAGCTGGTCTTTTGGGCTTTCTTCTAGAAAACACCATTTCTGGTAAGTTGGGACCAGGTCCTAGGGAAGTGGCTGGGAAGTCATTACTCCATGGCTTGGGCAGTGATCAGACTAGCCCCTCCTTTTACTTATTTATTGAGACAGGGTTTCTCTGTGTCCTGGGACTTCATTTAATAGACCAGGCTGGCCTGGAACTCACTGAGCTCCACCTGCCTCTGCCTTCCAAGTGCTGGGATTAAAGGCATGCACTACCATGCCTGGCTTACTTATTTTTTAGGGTTTATTTTTATTTTAAATTAAGTCTGTGGATAGATCCACATGAATGTACATCCCCCCACCAGATGTGGAGCTACAGGCAGCCATAAGCTATCTGATACTGGTGATGAGACGTGGAACTTGGGTCTCTCCAGCCTGACCAAGCCCTCCTTTGCAGGTACACAGATTGAGCGAGGCCTAGGTCAAGGGCGGCCAACTTCTTTCACTGCCCAGGAAACTCGGAAGTCCAGGGAGAAGGAGGCTCAAGAGTATGGGCTTCCATTAGCCATCAACGATATGTGTTCCTGCATCCCACAGCCTCTCCATTGCCTCTGCCCAATGCCTGAAGACCCTGAGGATGAGGAAGGAGGGCCCTCTAAAACAGGAGAGACCGCTGACTTGTTGCCTGACTCTGAGGAGTCATGCCCTAGAGCTAACGGAGAAGGGTTTAGGTCTCAGTAATTAGCCAAGAGACCATTTTTGTCTTTATTAGTTTAGCAGTAACTCCCAGCTTGCTGAACTCTTGCCTCCAATTTTTTAGAATTTATTGGTCCACCTAGATGCGTCGTTTCCTGGTAGAACGGGCTACCTTTCCTCCTCTTTATCAGGCTAATGTGTTCAGACGCAGGGGACATGGATTTAGTGGATGAATAAGTGAATAAATTAGATATTTGCCTGTGAACTGCCAATGCCCATTGAATGAACTCTAGCGTTCAAGTATTATACGGAGCGCTTCCCACGAGCAAGGTTTGAATATGACAGGGACCATGGCCTCTCCCTGCATTTAAGATTTAAATTCGTAACTAAAATGTAAAGCAGAAGGTAGTCTATAATAAAGAAGACAATAATGATGAAGGGGCAAGGAGGAAGTAGTATTTTGTTTCGACTGGGAAGGAATCAGGAAAGCAACAGCGCTGCAAGTCATCTTGACAAGTGAGGTTTCGGGTCCCCGCCCACCACAGCTCTTGGCTCCGCCCCACACCCCAAGCCCCGCCTTCCCGAGTGTGTGTAGGGGGGGTGGCTTCTACCCTAGGCCCTTCAGTTTGAACACGAGGGCAGGCCCGCCGTGAGGAGGGCGGGAGCTCCCGCAGCCGTTGACGGTAGGTGGGATCGGTTTCGAGTCGGTGCCGAGATCCGGCCGCACGCCGAGAAGTGGAGAGAAACTTTCACGGTGACCCCCTAGCCGGGTGCTTTTTTCCCAGAAGGGACCGCGCGCAGCCCGGGCTTTGGGGCAGGCCTCCAGGAGTGGGCGGTCCTGCGCGTGCGCAGTCTGCTTTCGGCCTCAGTCTTCGCGAGTGTCGTGGGAGGCCCCTCCTTAGCCGGTCGATGTTTCGATCCTTTGGGCTGAATTAGCTTTGTTACCCCTTTGGGGTCCTGAGCCATGCCTGCGTGCAGCCGGTGCTGTAAAAATGAGAGACGGGCGGCGAAGTGTCTGCAGGAGTGGTGGATGGACGCCGTAGGCGTTCCCGGGGTGGCCTCTGGCTTCGGGGCCTGAGGTTTGCCCACATTGGCGGCACAGGGCGTGGGCCCGCCGGACGGTCTGTAGGGCCTTGCTGCCCTCTGCAGGGTGTTGTAGGAACTACCCTGAGAACTCACGGCCGAGTGACAGAACTTCCTCCAACTTCACTTTCTCACTCTTAAGAGACAATGATACCGGTGAAATTGGTTAACGAGTTCTTTGAAGACCAACTTGCGCCGGGGAAAGTAAAACCCCGAGGAGCTAGATTCCCTTTTCTCTGTGCTGGGCACGATCTCAGGCCCCAAGGCATTACACTGAGCTATCTTTCTCTTCCTCCTCCACCTCCTCTTTTTTTTTTTTTGAGTCTGTTGCTATGTTGGTCTCCAAATTAAGATCCCCCTGCCTCAGCCTCCTGTGTGCTCGGACTATAGGCCTGCCTCATCATACCTGACTCACCGAGTTACCTCAGTCCAGGCTGAGTGGGAGCCAGCCTGGGTCTGATGCTGAATGCTTTTCACATTTTTATAGTGCCAGCTGTCCCTGGCCACATTAAACAGCTTCCTCCCATTCAGACAAAACATCAACTTGTGGGTTCTGACCTTCAAGACTTAAGGAAGGACCAGTTAGGGCAATAAATTCAATTTTGGTGACTTTTAGAGTACATGCCAGGATGTACCAGGGAAATTAGAGGGTTTGGCAACTTCATTTATATTTCTAATCTTTTCCAATGTAAACTCTTGCCCAGCGAAAACTCTTTAATCATTCCAAGACCAGCTTTCCCTACTAGAACAGCACATGATGGAAATACCCATCTCTGCACGGATGGTTTCAAGGCTGCTGCAAATAACCGCCATCTGTGCAGTCACGTGCCACTCGAAATGGCCATGTGTTTGAGAACTGTGTTATTAGGCCATTTCATCACTGCGCAGCTGTCACAGTGCACATGCTTGAACCAAGATGGCAGCAATGCCACTACGTTCCATGATTTTTGTTGCTGTTGTCTTCTCCCCCCCCCCCCAGACAGGGCTTCTCTGGTTGTCTGTCCTGGAACTTGCCCTGTACACTAGGCTGGCCTCGAACTCACAAAGATCTGCCTGCCTCTGCCTCCAGAGTGCTGGGATTAAAAGGCATGGGCCATCACCACCCTGCTAGGTTCTGTGATCTTAAAGGATCCCTGTCCTATATGCCATCTTTCTGACTATGTACATTTACAGTCCACTTGTTAATTACAGTACAAATGAAGAGACCGTGCTTTGAAACCTAGGAAGACTGATGGCTTAGACTGAGTTGGAAATAACTACTAATCAGATTTAAACAGGAATTTCATTCTTTTTTTTTTTTTTTTTTTTTTTTTTTGGTTTTTCAAGGCAGGGTTTCTCTGTGGCTTTGGAGGCTGTCCTGGAACTCGCTTGGTAGTCCAGGCTGATCTCGAATTTACAGAGATCCGCCTGCCTCTGCCTCCCCAGTGCTGGGATTAAAGGCGTGCGCCACCAACGCCCGGCTAGGAATTTCATTCTTTGTAGTCTAACTTTTCACCTCTTAATACTTCCCTTAATTTTATATTTATAGAAGAAAATAATAAGGAATTTATATGACTTTAAAAAATTTTTTTTGAGACAGGATTTCTCTGTGGCTTTGGAAGCTGTCCTGGAACTAGCTCTTCGTTAGACCAGCTGTCGTCGAACTCACAGAGATCCGCCTGCCTCTGCCTCCCCAGTGCTGGGATTAAAGGTGTATGCCACCACCTCACCCGGCTTATATGGCTTTTTATTTCCACAGGAAAAATAAATTCTGTCAGACTTAGTAATTACATACTTAACTAGGTTGAGGACACAGCATTTTTCTCAGTGACTTTATTTATTATTATGTGCTTTGGCATTTTGCCGGCATGTATATCTGTGTGAGGGTATCAAATCACTTCAAGCTGGATTACAGACTGGTGTAAACTACCATATGGGTTGCTGGGAATTGAACCCAGGACCTCTGGAAGAACAGCCAGTGCTGTAAACCCCTGAGCCATCTCTCCAGCCCCCATCTCTTGCTCTTATTAACCCTTGTGTGGGTGTCGCTGTGTATCTATCCTGTCACTGTATTACTGTCATCATATTACTAATGTGATGATAGCATGGGCATCTTCCATAACGCATGTACACATGAATTTTCCATAATTGTAGAGGATTAACTTGAACAGACTCTGAGTAACAATTTCTGTTTTAGATAAGGGGAATATGATCAAAGTACATTACATATGTATGAAATTGTGAGACAATAATTAAAACTTCAGAATGAACCCATTTTAGGGTTTTTTTTTTTGAGGAAGGGTTTTGTATAGTTCAGGTTGGCCTTGAACTCACTATGTAGGTTGAAATTTGGAGATTTTTAAAAAACTTATTTTTAAATTTTATTTATTCGTTTCATATTGCCTTATCTGGGGGTAAGGATGTGTGTGTGTGTGTGTACAGTGTGTGAGCACACTGTGCATGTAGAGGTCAGAGGGCAATCTTAGAAGTGATACTCAGGCGCCTCCTACTGTTTGAGTGAGATAGGGTCTCTCTCAAGTCTAGAACTTTGGTAAGTAGGCCTGGGTAGCTGCCCCCATCTCTGCCTTTCACAGCCTCTGATTTTGTTAGTGCTGGGACTACAGGTACGTATCACCCCACCAGGCTTTATGTAGATTCTGGGGATCCTGTGAGTCGAGTGCTGTACCAGTAGAGCCATTTCCCCAGCCCAACCTTGGTCCTCCCACCTCCTCCCAGTGTTGGGATTATAGGTGTACATCACCGGGTCTGCATTAGGACTTTATTGTTGGCTTCCAAACTTCCTGAGCTGTGTCTTCTTTATATTAAAAAAAAACTATAGGGCTGGAGAGATGACTCAGTGATTAAGAGCACCGGCTGCTCTTCCAGAGGTGGAGGTCATGAGTTCAATTCCTAGCAACCACGTGGTGCCTCATAACTATCTATAATGAGATCTGGTGCCCTCTTCTGGCCTGCAGGCATACGTGCAGACAGAACACTGTATACATAATAAATAAATCTTTAAAAAACAAACAAAAACTATAGCACAGGTGTTGGTAGTGCATGCCTTTAATCCCAGCATTTGGAAGGCAGAAGCAGGCAAATCTCTGAGTTCAAGGCCAGTCTGGTTTACAGAGTGAGTTTCCAGGGCTACATGGAGGAAAGCCTTGAAAAACAAAACAAATGTCGCACTTTTTGGTGCATATGTGGAGGTCAGAAGATGACTTATGGAGGTAATCTCTCTTCTGCTACACGAGCCTCAAGGATACAGCTTAGGTCGTCAGGCTTGGCACGAGTGCCTTTTCCTGCTAAGCCATCTCACCGACCCAGACTTTCTTTTAGCAACCAAATAATTTGAATGTCCTGCTCCTCACATTTAGGACTTAAGATTTATTTATTTAGTTTTCTGAAACAGGGTTTCTCTGTGTAGCCCTGACTGTCCTGGAACCCACTCTGTAGACCAGGCTGGCTTGAAACTTGAAGATCCACCTGCTTCTGCCTCCCAGGATGATTAAAGGCACGCACCACCACTGCCCCAGCAATTTTTTTTCAAGACAAGAATCATTCTGATCTTTCTAAAAGTTCCGGGAAAGATAGAATCGACATATATAGGATTCAAGTAAAGGTTTAATAGGATTGGCTTGGGTCTCCATATTATATTAAATACATGAATATGCTGAGTTTAAGCACTGTGGAAGAAAGAGATTGCCCTTTCCTCCCCTTTCCTCTGTTTCCTCTTTCCTTCATCCCGTCTTCCTTTGACACCCCGGTGAGTCTATCTCATGCATCGACAGCTGGCCTGGGAAGCCTGAACTCCCTGCCTCCATATCTCAATTCTAGGATTCCAGGCATGCACCACCATACCTGGTAAAGATATGTTTTCTGTTCTTTAGGAACTTAATGTAAGAAATATTCTGATATTTAAAAAAGATTTTACTTATGTTTATTTTATGTGTACGAGTGTTTTTTTCCTGCATGTATGCAGATACTATGTTTGCAGTGCTTGAAGAGGTCAGAAGAGAGCATTAGATATCTTGGAACTGGAGTTACAGATGGTTGTGAACTTCCATGTGGGTGCTGGGAATTCAACCCCAATCCTCTGGATAAGAAATCAGTGCTCTATGTCATCTATGTCATCTCTCCAGCCCCAGATTCTAAATAACTTCAAGTCAGTTGTCAAGGGGCAGTTAGGCTGTTTATATAAAGGGAGATACATGCTTTCATACCTCTATTTTACTGGGGAGGGTTTCCACACAATTTCAGCTGACATGGGATTGGGAGTGGTCCTCTCGGGGGTACTAAATTAGGATTTTCCTGCAGATGGAAGAACTAGAGCAAGGCCTGTTGATGCAGCCGTGGGCATGGCTACAACTTGCTGAGAACGCACTCTTGGCCAAGGCGTCTATCACCAAGCAGGGTTATGCCTTGCTGATTTCGGATCTTCAACAGGTGTGGCACGAGCAGGCGGATACTTTGGTAGTCAGTCAGCGAGCTAAGGTAAGAGTATAAGTGTGAAGAGAGGTATCACTGTGGTGTGATATGTTGGTTGTACATGAACGTCCATCATCTTGTCTGTCTATATGTTGGCAAGGAAGGTTGAATTGGTTTGAAGCAATTATAGGCTTAACATCTCTCTCCTAAGGATGCAAAATCTGAAATGCTCTAAAATATGGAAGTTTTCACATCCTCAGTACTCAAGCACTCAAAAAGTTTTAGATTTCAGATCATTTCAGATTTTGGATTTTGGGGCTAGAGTTGTACAATTGGCGAAAACCTATACATATATTCAAAAATCCAAGAAATTTAGAAATCTGAACCATTTCTGGAGAGAGAGAGGGAGAGAGGGAGACTGATTTTGCATAAGCAATAATGCATACTGCCATCTGTATTATATGGTGTATACAGGCCCTCAGTAATTGATTTTTCCCAGAACGGTGGAGCAGGCTAGTTGATCCTTGCAACTCTTCTTCCTGTCTTCATTTTGCTGCAATGCTTTACCCTTGCCTTCCCTTCCTCTCCTGCCCATTGTCTTCTTGGATTCCCCTTTGCTCTTGCCTTTGAGGAATTTCCTTTTAATGCCCTTACTGTCTCTCTAGGAGCTGAACAAGCGCCTAACTGCTCCCCCCTCAGCTTTTCTCCATCATCTGGAGGAGCTGCTCCTCCCATTGTTTAAAGATTCTGCTCACCAGGATGCTGCTCATCCGAGCAAGGCTACCTTCTCCTGTGATCACATAGCAGAGGCACTGGTTCTTCGGGTGCGGAGTGAGCTGTCTGGTCTTCCCTTCAATTGGCATTTCCACTGCATTCCAGCAAGTTCTTCACTGGTAAGTGAAATGTAGATATGGGTGCAGGTGGGTATCCTAGTTGCTTCAGGTAAAGATCTGGGTGCCCTTATGTTTCCTGAAATTCTTTTTTTCTTCTTTTTTCAAGAGAGGGTTTCTCTGTGTAGCCTTGTCTGTCCTGGAACTTACTCTCTAGACCAGGCTGGCCTTGAATTCACAGAGATCCACCTGCCTTTGCTTCCTAAGTGCTGGGATTAAAGACATGCGTCACCACTGCCTGGTTGATACTCTTTTCTAAGAAAAAGAAATTTCCTTGACTAGACCAGAGGCTATGAGGATTTTTGACTGTTATAGCCTTGTCTTGTAAAGAGAGCAGGGTTTGGATCTTCACATTGTATTTGGTGACTTTATCCAATATTATTATTTCAATGCCAGGGATCTCATGTATGCTTGGCTACTCTAGGATGACCTCATTCTTTCACCTGAGTGTTACAGATACACCACGGTGCTCACATGCTCAGTTTATGAGGGGTTGAACCCAGGGCTTGGTGCTGGATAAGCACTTTACCAACTGAGTATATCCCTAGGTTTTCTTGAGTTGTTTTTTTTTTTTTTAAGCTAGGGTCTCACTGTAGCCCTGGCTGGCCTGGAACTCACAGAAATCTTCCTGTTTCTTTTTCCTTCCTTCCTTCCTTCCTTCCTTCCTTCCTTCCTTCCTTCCTTCCTTCCTTCCTTCCTCCCTCCCTCCCTCCGTCCCTCCCTCCCTCTCTCTCTCTCTCTTTGTTTTTTGAGGCAGGGTTTCTCTGTATTGGCTTGGAGGCCATCCTGGAACTCGGTTTGTAGACCAGGCTGGCCTCAAACTCACAGAGATCTGCCTGCCTCTGCTTCCCAAGTGCTGGGATTAAAGGCGTGCGCCACAAACGCCCAGCTGGAAAAATCTTCCTGTTTCTGTCTAATAACATGCCCACTTTTCTTGTTTTTTTTTTGTGTGTTTTATTATCCTGTCTTAGCTGGCCTGAAATCACTGTATAAGCCAGGTTTGCCTTGTACTTGAAGCAGTCCTCCTGCCTCAGCTTCCAAATGCTGGGATTCACCATACTTGGCTTACAGCAGAGGCTTTAATAGTTCCAAGCTGTGATTTATCAAGACCACTTTGATAACAGGGTGGAGTGTGACACTTTTCTAAGCGTTTTCTCCTCTTTTTGTCCTTGTGATTTTCTTACAAGATGGCTATTATTATTTTCATTTTTTTCAGAACAGGAAACCAAGATTGAAAGTAACTTGTCCAAAGACATCCAGCTTATTGGTTACTGAGCTAGAATTTGAACTCTGCATTAGTCTAGTCAGCTTCAAAGCTCTCTTTTATAGACTAGGAGGATCATGCCTTCCTCTTGTTTGTAGCTTTAGTGCCCCAATAACTTTTATCTGTAATAGTTGGGCAGTGGTGGTGCACACCTTTAACCCCAGCACTTGGGAGGCAGAGGCAGGCGGATCTCTGTGAGTTTGAGGCCAGCCTGGTCTTACAGAGTGAGTTGCAGGACAGGCTCCGAATCTACACAGAGAAACCTTGTCTCAAAAATAACAACAACAACAACAACAAAACCCTATTAAATAATAAATTTAAGAGCAAGTTTTCAGCTAAGTGTGGTGACACATGTCTTTAATCCCAGGACAGTTAGAGCTACATAATAGAGATTCCCTATTTCAAAAAACAAATAAAGACAAATTTTCAAAGCTGGGTATGATTGTGCATGTCTGTTATCAGCACTAGGGAGATAGAGGCAGGAGGATCATGAGTTCAGGGCCATCCTCAGCTACATAGTGAGTTTGAATATAGCATGTGCTACATAATACTCTGTCTCAAAACCAACCAACTGCTGAGTATGGTGAATGCCTTTATTTTTAGCACTCAAGAGGCAGATGCAGGTGGGTCTCTGTGAGTTTGAGGCCATCCTGGTAAACATAGAGAGTTCCAGGCCAGCCAGGGCTGTTACCTGGAAATAAAAAAAGAAAGAAAAAAAAATAAACAAAAAAACCTGATTTCAGATTTGGTATATCTGGTTTGAATCCTGTCTTCATCTCTTTGAGGATTTGAGATAGTCTATAGACTTAAACTAGAAGCCTTGAATTTCTTCCAGATGTCCACTGTAGCTGATGGGAATGTAAAATGACACAGGAAATGTCTTAGGGTTTCTATTGCTGTGAAGAGATACCATGACCACAGCAAGTCTTACAAAGGAAAACATTTAGTTGGGCTGGCTCACAGTTCAGAGGTTTAGTTATTACCATCATGGTGGGACATAGGCAGATGTGGTGCTGGAGAATTGTACATCTTGATTAGCATGCAACAGGAAGTGAACTGAAACACTGGGAGTGGCTTGAGCATCTATGAGACCTCCACAGTGACACTTCCTCTAGCAAAGCCACACCTCCCTGTGAGCTTATGGGGGCCAATTACATTCAAACTACCACAAGCAGTTTGGAGAATAATGCAGAGCATATGTGCCAGGTGCATGTGCAAGTGGTTAGATTATGTGTAGAGGTCAAATGTCAAATTTGGGTGTCTTAGTTAGGGTTTCTTTTCTGTGAAGAGATACCATGACCACAGTAATTTTTATAAAGGAAAGACATTTAATTGGGGGTATCTTACATTTTCAGAGGTTCAATTCATTGTCATTATCATAGGACACGGTGCTGGTTATGTCTTGATCAGAAGGCAATAGGAAGTAGACTGAGACACTGGGAGGTATTTTGGGGATATATGAGACCTCAAAGCTGGCCTCCACAATGAGACACTTCCTCCAACAAAGCCACACCTCCTAACTGTGCCACTCCCTTTGGGGAACATTTTCTTTCAAACCATCACACGGGTTCTGTGTGTGGCTCTGGCTATGCTGGAACTCACTAGGTAGGCTGGGCTGGGATTAAAGGTGTGTGTTACCACTGCCCAGCTTCAGGTGTCTTCCTTAGTCACTTCTCTGCCTTGCTTTTTGAGACAGTCTCTCACTGAACCTGGGGCTTGCTGATTTGGGTAGATTGGCTAGTAATCCCCAGAAACCATCTTGTCTGCCTCCATAGTGTAGATAACAGATGCCTACCACTTTTTGTTTGTTTGTTTTGGTCTTTCTGTAGCCATAGCTACCCTGGATCTCACTCTATAGACGGGACTGGCCTCAAACTGCTCACCATTTTTTATGTAGGTGACTGGAGCTACAAACTTGGTCTTCATGATTGTAGCAATTTCTCTTGTTCCCAACTTTTTTTTTTAATTAAACAAGGTCATACATACTCTTTAGCCCAGGCTAGGCTGTTTTTTAATCTTAAGATTTATTTATTTAGCCGGGTGGTGGTGGTGCATACCTTTAATCGCAGCACTCAGGAGGCAGAGGCAGGCAGATCTTTGTGAGTTCAATACCAGCGTAGTCTACCAGAGCTAGTTCCAGGACAGCCTCCAAAGCCACAGAGAAACCTTGTCTCAAAAAACAAAAACAGAAAGATTTATTTATTATGTAAAAAGTAATGTTTATTTTAAAAAAATAGAATTTTTTTGGTAGTAAAGCTTTTCTTTTTTTTTTAAGCATGCTAATCCCAGTTCCCCCTCTCTCCCCCTCCCCCTCTCCCTCCCCCTTTCCCTTATCCCATCTTCCCTTTTGCTTCTCAGAGAGGGTAAGGCCTCCTGTGGGGAGTCAACAAAATCTGTCTCATCCACCACTTGAGGCAGGACCAAGGCCCTCCACCTCGTGTCTAGGCTGAGCAAGGTATTTCTCCATAGGAAATGGGCTCAAAAAAGTCAGTTCATGCATTAGGGATAGATTTTGGCCCCACTGCCAGTGGCCCCACAAAGTGCCCAAGCCACCTACTGTTGTCTGCATTCCGGGGGTCTACTTCAGTCTTATGTAAGTTTTCCAGCTGTCGGTCCAGATTCAGTGAGCTCCCACTAGCTCGGGTCAGCTGTTTCTGGGGGTTTCCCTATGATTCATTTATTCATTTTTAAAATTTATTTATTATGTATGCAATGTTCTGCCTGCATGTATGCCTGCATGCCAGAAGAGGGTACTAGATCTCATTATAGATGGTTGTGAGCCACCATATGGTTGCTGGGAATTGAACTCAGGACCTCTGGAAGAGCAGTCAGTGGTTTTAAATTCTGAGCCATCTCTCCAGTCCCCAACTTTTGTTAAGTTGAGTGTACCCTACTTAATCTAGCCATTCCATTCCTAGATATTTACTTCAGAGTAATGAAAACACATGTTTAGCAGGTCTAGTGGTACATGTCTTTAATCCCAGTCTCTGAAGGGAAAGGCAAGAAGAGCACCATGAGTCTGAGGCCTGTTTAGGCTTTAGAGTGAGTTCTAGCTGACCAGAGCCTCACAGTAAGACCCAGCATCACAAACAAGAAACAAGTCTCTCAGCTCCCCTTCCCCACATAGAGCCCCTCAAAGATTTCTTTACAAATGTTCTCTGTGGCTTTTTGTGTTTACTTTATTTTATGTGTATGTGTTTAGCCTGCATATCTGTCTATGTACTGCAAGTGTGTCTGATACCTGCAGAGGCCAGAAGAGGGGGATCAGGTCTCCTGGAACTGGAGTTGCAGACAGTTGTGAGCTGCCATGTGAGAGCTGGGAATTGAACCCAGGTCCTCTGAAGAGCAGCCACTCATTCACCACTGGTTTGTTTGTGGTGCTAGGGATCGAGCCTAGGGCCTCACACTTGTTAGGCATGCATTCTTCCACTGAGCTATACCCTGGCTAAGGGTGTTTGTGAGGAAATGTAGCAGTACACAGGTATGGATGCTGTTGGTGATTTATTGTGGGAAATTACTTACATGAGAAACCAAAACCCAGGTTAGTCTCTGCAGCCTTTCGAGACCCGACTGGAAACCTGAAAGACAGCGAGTACCTCTCTGCTCAGCCCTTTATTCCACACCCATATGCACCTGTGGCCATGCCCAAAATGGGCGTGGTCAGCGCCACAGGTACCTAGACCTCTTCTTACAGGTGTTCTCTAATGTTGCCAAGGCTGGCCTCTGACTCCTGGGGCAAGATCACCAGTCTCCCAGGTAGCCAAGGCTGCAGGTGTGCACCATTGTGACTGACTTTACGAAGAAACTGCTAAGGCCCATAAACAAGTCCTGTTATGTAATTAGAAACTGCTAAGGCCCATAAACAAGTCCTGTTATGTAATTAGCCCTCACATTTGTTGACTTTAATTGAATTTCTTGTGAACTCTTCCGTCTAACGTTATATACAGAATTTCAGTCATTCAAACCCCAAGCTTTTTTCTAGGTGACACCAGGGGGCACTGTTTCCTCAATGATGCTTATTCTGGCATCCATCCATTTGAACCACCTTTGAGAATCCCTATCGGTAGCAAAGACTTCGTGTATTATATGGTCCTACAAATTCAGACTAGTGTGAGTGGGGAGGCAGCTTTCCTGGAGGTTTCCTCTAGCAATTTCTTCTTTCAAAAGTTCAGAGTAAATCAGCCAGCTCAGCATTAGAACACTGGTTTAACATGGGCCAGGAACTCCAGCCCTGAGGGGAAAAGGCAATAAAGAACACTTGAGCAATGATAAAACGATTGAGGAAAAATGAAAGGCAAAGGTGGTTATTTTAGTGCAGTCTCCCAGCTGAGGAACTGTCATGGGAAAGATGCTTAGTGTTTAGAGGAGAGTGAGTTTTGGTTGGCCACAGGGAGATACTGACTTAGAACAAATGGTTAACAAGTATATTTTAGGTTCAGATAAAGCCCTTATCATGAAACAAAGAAGACTGTCATCCCAGGGAAACCCTGGGCTGCAGGGAACTTTGCAGGGAAGAAGCTGTAGCTGGTAGACTCTTCCAGGGATGTAGGCGGCTTCTACTTTAGGCGGGTGTGTGTGTCTGTGAGGTCATGTGGTTGGAAGTTTTGTCTGTTATTCATTCTTGTGATAGTTTTCATTTACTTTTTTTTGAATGGGTAATTCATGCCAAAGACAAACATTTCTTTCCCTCTCTCTCTCTCTCTCTCTCTCTCTCTCTCTCTCTCTCTCTCTCTCTCCCTCTCCCTCCCTCCCTCTCTCTCTCTCTTTCTGAATCACATGTAGTCCAGGTTATCCTCAAAATCACAATGTAGCCAAGAAACCTTCAATTTCTTTCCCCCTGCCCCTTCTTTCCTCCTCAGAGCTGGGATTTCACGGGTTCTCTGTGGTGCTGGAGATTGAACCTAGGGCTTCATACATTAAAGACAAACACTGCATGAGCTGAGGCACATTGTTGGCCATCTTTTCTTTTTCCTTGATGGAATGTTGCTGTTAGCCCAGCTCAAGTTTGAAATACTTCTGCCTCTGTTTCCCAGATGCTGAGATTACAGGTGTGAGCTATCACATGTGTTATCAACTCTAAGGAACTTAATAGTTCTTAATTCTCTGAGGTAACTGTGGAATATGTATGGCTTTGGGTCTCTGCTTTGTGATTCTGCGTCTGTCTCTACTTGTGACAAATTTCTCTTTACTGCTCCATTTTTTCTATTGACTGTCCTTTCTGGTATCTAATATAACTGTTTTCCCTACTTTTTCTGTTTAAGTTTTTATTAGATTTACTTACTTTATGTGGATGAGTATTTTGCCTGCATATATGTATGTGCATCATGTGCATATCTGGTGTCCAAAGAGGCCAGAGATGGCGTCTGATTTCTTGGAACTGGAGTTACAGACAGTTGTGAGCCACCATGTGGGCATTGGGGACTGAACCCATGTCCTCTGCAAGAGCAGCAGCCAGTGCTCTTAACCCCTAGCCACCTCTCCAGCCCGTGCTTAGTTGTGATTTCCTGCTCCAACCTCCCATGTGGGGATTACAGGTGTGCATCTAATAGAATTCTTGATATTCTCTATTTTCACTTTCAGATTTGTCACCAGTGGTTTTTTTTTAATGATTTCTAGGGGTTGCATCCCAGAGTTTCTTAGTGGTAGGAAGAACACAAGCTTTGGATCCAGAAGACAAATTCACAATCTACCCTTCTACTTTAAGATTACATGTATTCCCTTGGATTAGGACTAGGATATTTATGACTCAGTTTCTCCACCTGTCAAATGCCAGTTACAGCATTACTATAGCTTATGGTGATTAAAAAAGGACATGTGCAGCTTTACCATAGGATTCTAGGGGCTGTGAGGGAAATGTTCCAACACACGTTTTTCCTTGTTGTAAAGGATAAGGACGTATGAGATGCTGGCAGATCCAAGACTAGAATCTGTCTCTCGATTCTCTAGTCTGCCAGTGGCTTCACTGTAATATCTGATACAGCTCATATGGGGCCAACTCTCCCCTGCCTAGGACTCACAAACATTCTGCAGGAAATCAGAATACTTTAGGGGGTAGGATTACAAGTATTTCCCCATCTGGGGACAAGTAGTAACTTCTATTGTACCCATCATGCTTCCTGGTCTATCACAGGCTCTTCAAAGGCAGAAGCCTCAGAGCTTAGTTCCCAGTGGGTATGGACTGGATTGACTTAGAAGCACGTGCCTTCATATCCCTCTTCCATGAATGAAAGAGGGTGTCCCTTACCTAAAGCACTGCATAGTTTTTCCCTGTTGTGCCTTTGGAGGTATACTGATCTGTCTACATGGTTGCATGTCTTTTGTTTTATTTTGTATTTTATGCCAGTCTTTTTTATGGCAATTAATACCTATCTTGGGGACTTCTAACTAGCATTCATCTAAGTTAAAAAAAAAACAGAGAAATCCTCTTAGGCCCAAGAGAAATCATTTTAATGTTCATCTAACTTTGAAATGAATTATAGCTCAGGAATTCAGAGTGGTGTGAAATTATTTGGAAAGTTGAAATATTTCCTGATTAAAAAACACTTTTTTTTCTGTATTGATGTTGTAGTCTAATAGATCATTCCAGTTGCCTGAGACCATGATATCTTATTTCAGTAGACATGGCATTGGTTAAAAACTATTCCTTGCCATGTTTCATGTTGTTATATTTAGCACCTCAAATGTGGTGCTCCCCAGCCCACCATGGTGAGAGGCCGGTTATTAACATCAGGAGTTTCTGTTATTTGAGGGGTGCCACCAAAGGGCCACTGTGGCTGCTTGGTTAGCAATGATAATTATTTTCAGCTCAATCCACCAAACCTCCATTGGCTTTCATACAATTATTTGCCTGTTTTTCTAATCTACCTTGACCGGGACCAAACTTATCAAAATAGTTCCTAGGGCATAGAGTTGAGCTTAGACCATCTTATTTTTTTAAATACTTGTTTTTTAAAATCACTGTTTTGAGTTAATTATTATGTGTGTGCATGAGTGCTACAGTGTACATGTGGAAGTCAGAGGAAAGCTTGAACGGAGTGAGTTCTCCCTCTACTCAGTGGGTCTGGGGGAGTGAACTCAGGTCAGGAAGCTTGGCAGCTTGCTGAGTCACCTCACAGGCCCAGGGTATGCCTTAAAGCCAGGGTTCTGAGCAGTACATCTTGGAGGCCTAAGTCTTTCCTGAGGACCTAGGATGGGAGACAGTACCAGGCTGGTATGTGCCAGTGACAAAAAGTAAAAATTATCTATAGCTGGACTAGACTTTGGCCTTACACCCTGTGCCAGGACACCTACATTTCTTGGATCCTGGTACAAAAAGCTACTGCTCTTACTGCCCACTCATTCCTCCACATCCAGTCTTTTTTCTCTTCTGACTGAATCTTAGAGAAACATAGGAAAGTCTTTTCCTTATAACCTGAGCTGCCACAAAGCTGCACTTTTAGTTTTCTCTAGAGACTTAATGGGAAGCAAAAACATGGCCGCTTGGGGGATGGTTGCTTGGGATCCTGACCCAGGTACGTCTTCCTGGTGCCTCAGATACTTGTGTACTTTCTCCTTATTTCAAGCCCCTGTTGGGGGTATCTTGTCTAAAATGCTCCTTATTTTAGATATAGCTAGGGATAAGCGTACTATGGCCAGCAGGCCAAATCTGGCTTGCTGCCTGCTTTTGTAGAGTTATATTGGAGCACAGCCACCTCATTTGTTTACATATTGTCTGTGGCTGCTTTCGCATGCCGCAACAGCAAAGTTGAGTAGTTGTGGCAGGGACTCTGTGGGCCACAAGCTGAAAATATTGACTATCTGACTCCTGCCGAGAAAAGCTTGCTGACCCCCGGATCTAGGGCATCTCTTTGCTTAGTGTCCTTTAGTTCATGCCCCTGGTGGGATCGAAAGAAACTGACGACATCCTCTAGCCACAGACTAATGGACTCCTTGCATAGGTGACTTAAATGGTTCTGCGTGCCCATACAGTATTGCATGAGTGCTCGGTGGGCTGGTTGGTTTCTCCCCACTCTCGTCTCTTGGTAACTTTTTTTTTTAAACAATAACTTCAAATTCTGCTGTATTTGTGGGAATAGGTTGAAACTCTGAACGCTTCTCAACCCTGAAATGGCTCTTAGTACATATCTAGATGTTTCTGCTGTTTTTTTTCCTCCTGTTGGTGTGCTGCTTCAGCCATACCCCTTTGTTGGGGTTTCCTTGAATCTCCTGCTCTTATCTGAGTCAGCACATCCCTCTTCTCAACTTTTCTTTTTATTAATTTATTTTTAAGATTGTTCTTTTATATTGTGTGTGTATAGGTGTTTTGCCTGTATGTGCATGTGGGGCCTGTGGAAGCAAATAGAGAGTTCATGATCCCCGGTCTGGAGTGATAGACAGTTGTGAGCTGTTGTGTGGGCACTGGGAATAGATCTCATGCCTTCTGGAAGAGCAGCCAGTGTTCTTAACCACTGAGCCATCTCTCCAGAACTGTAGATTTTCTGTCTATTCTTATTCTTCCCATTCCACACCTGGGCCATAAAGAAAATTCCCGAGTCTCTTTAACATGTAAATTTGACTATTGTGTTTGTAAATGAATTACTTGTCTATGAAATTGTAAGTTCCTGTGAAAATGTCTATTCCTGAGTATTTTTTTCTGTAGCTAGTACAGCTTTTGAGAGTATTTTGCAAGCATCCGTTGGCTAATTGATACTTCTTTTCATCAAAGGTCTCTCAGCATCTGATTCGTCCTCTGATTGGTGTGAGCCTGGCATTGCAGTGTCATGGGAGGGAGCTAGCAGCATTGCTTCGGATGAAGGATCTAGAGATCCAGGGCTACCAGGAGAGTGGAGCTGTGCTGAGCCGAAGTAAGAGGGCATTCTTGGAAGAATGGGTGGGGAGAGGTTCAAGTAGTCTAAGGGTCCTAGAAGAAGGGGAATATAATTTGCGTTAAAATATTTCTTAAGCTAGAGGTGTGGATCAGTTGGTGAGATGCTAGCTTAGCATACTCCATCTCCTGGGTTTGGTTCTTAGAACTGCATAATGAGAGTGTCTGTGTACACATACGATCCCAGCATTCAAGAGATAGGGACAGGAAGTTATCCTTGGCTACATAGTAAGCTCAGAGCTAGCCTGGCATACATTAGACCATGTCTCAAAACAAAACGAAAACCTAAAACAACAAACAAAATTTTCTATTCAATGACAGGTGTAGGTACTCTAGCAGCTGGGTACTGGATGTCCCTTCTGTCTGCCTCAGGTGCCTGACTGAAGCTATAGCCATGCATGTCCAGACATGCCCTGGACAATGAGGAGGAAAGCCTTTAAAAAGGGCCAACAGCTGTTCAAAATTGTGTTAGCAGAATGTGGGATCCAGAGCTGAGGAACCTCTACAGCTCTTGTTTCAGAAAAAGTTTTACATAACCTTTGTCACTGTGGCAGGAAAATCTTCTAGAGTAAACTCTAATCACCCCAGTTTTCTCCTGTTTGTCCTATACCCTCAACCCTTCTCTCTCAGGCATAGGGTTCTTTGGGCGTCGCGTCTCTGACTTCTTTTCCTAGAAGTTCTAGGCTCTTCCCTATCATCTGATAGGCATGAAGCCCATCCTTAGGCTCATATTTCCTTTCTCTATCTTTTCTTAATTACAGGTCGATTGAAGACAGAGCCATTTGAAGAAAATTCTTTCTTGGAACAGTTTATGGTAGAGGTAGGGTATTTGCTGTTTCTCTTCTACAAATTTGGGCAGAGTGCCTGGGTGGCAACCTGCATTTTGGGCGTTAGGTGACTTGTGTGGTTGGAAAGCTCTTTGCCTGAAAAAGTTGCCTGTGGAAAGTTTGATGAAGCTTGAGATGTGTGTAGAGAATGGGGGGGAAAGAGTGAAAAGGCGAAAGTGGGCTTCTCCTACTCAACATCTCTGTTAAGCTGGCGAATAGGCTGACATTTAGAGTTCTTTAACATTGGGAAGGTTGATCCGCTTGTTGAGATCTGGATTGTGTGGTAGAGGGTGGTCCTTCGTTCAATCGTTGTTCAGCCACTTTAGCATCCAGCAATAGAGGAAGGTGTAAAAGCGCAGGGCTACCATTTGGGGACTGTCTTGCGGGCACAGTAGGCTGTGGAAAATCACAGTGTTTATACAAGGGGACTGGCACAGGAATGAATGGGGAGTAGATAATTGTGGCCTGTCAGAAGCTTCTGCCTAGGTTTCCCTTCTAAGGATTGATCCTGGCCAAAAGAAATATCCACTGAGTGCCAAACAGTGGGAGTATTAATAATAGTGACCTTTGATAATACCAGTCAATATTGGTCTTTCCCTTCTCTACTCTTCTGGAACTTGTTGGTTATGTGGGTAGTACCTTAGTATTGTTGCTCCATTTAAATTAAAATAATCAAAGTAGACAGTGCTTTTAGAATATTATATATGGATTGTTTGTATTTCTGTTTTGCCATCTAGACTAGTTGTAAGCTTTTTGTGGACAAAGTATGTCTCATACCTTTTCTAAACGGGAAGATTAGCATTTTTTTCCCTCAGGGAGAGGCATAAAGTGAGTGTTCCTGATTGAGAACCTTCAGTTCTTCCTCTGAGCTCTCCTACCCAGAGTCTTAACACTGAGAAAAAACAGTGTGAGGTGCGTGTTCCATCCGTGTCCTGGAGCACTCGTGTTCTGCAGGAGGAGTGTTGAAGTCTTGAAGGTGTAAACATGTTTTATTTATTATTATGTGTGTGTGTGAATGGTGTGCATGAGTGGGGACACACATGCTACAACTTTCAAAAGTTGGTTCTCTCCTTTCAACGTGGCTTCCGGGGACTGTGGCAAGTGCTTTCACCCAGTGAACCATCTTGCTGGCCCCAGGTGTTAGTTTTTGTGTGTGGGGAAGAGATTATTAAACAGTAGCTTGTAGGAGATTTTCTAGGTCACTTTTCTCTCACCGGCTTCTCTCTATTAATTGGAACATGAAAGGAGGTTAATGTAGTCCAGGGATGACATGTTGTCTCTCCCAGCTACTCAGTGAAGCTGTGCCAAGCTAATTCTCCTGCCTCATACCTTTCCAGCTTAACTTCTACACATTTACTCTATGTGCTTTTTGTGCCAGCTATATGGAATGACTTAATTTCCCCAAATGCTGTTTTTGCTTGTTGTGTCTTTGCATACATTCCCCTTTGTGAGGAATGCCCAGTGCCTTCTCCTTATCCACTTTTTCCTTCCCTCCCTCCCTCCCTCCCTCCCTCCCTCCCTCCCTCCCTCCCTCCCTCCCTCCCTCCCTCCCTCCCTCCCTCTCTCCCTCTCTTTCTTTCTGTTAATTGAGACAGGGTTTCTCTGTGTAGCCCTGGTTGTCCTGGAACTCGCTCTGTAGACCAGGCTGGCCTTGAGCTCACAGAGATCCACCTGCCTCTGCCTCTCCTGTGCTGGGATTAAAGGTGTGCGCTACACTGCCCGGCTCTATCTTTTTAAGCATTAGCTTCAGTTTCTTGGGAAGCCTTTCTAAATCTTCCTTGTAAGAGGAACCCTTTCCTGCTACTAAAGTTCTATGGCTTAGATCTGTACCACGTACTGTTTATATGTCCAAGACTGTAACTCTCTTTTGCACTGAGCTGTGACGAGCTGAGATCAAGGACTGGACAAATGCATTTCTGTATCCTTGACATGGATGGTAGTGGCTAGAAGTAGTAGGGCCTTAATAATTTTTTGAATAAATATTTTAATACATTTGTGCCAAGGGGATCTTGTGAAAACTGTGGCAATGTGTCCCATGGATACAGTGGTTCTTACTAGAGTTGTATTTGAGGAAGTCTGTTATGCTCAAGGTTTATTTTTATAGCCTGGAACAAATCACTTCCCTCAGAACCACTATTATCTCATTTATAAAATTGAAGGCTCATCTTTTTCATGCTATTAGGGAAGAGAGCCCTGTAGAATTGTATGAGGAAGCATGTGGAATCAGGTGCCATCCCAAGAAGGGTGTTGGTGTGTGTGTGTGTGTGTGTGTGTGTGTGTGTGTGTGTAAAAATAAAAGTTTCTCTGGTGAGTTACCACAGGCCTGCAGTCCCAGTTCTTGGGAAGCTAAGGTCAGATCATGAGTTAGAGGCAAGCCTGAGCTACAGAGTGAGTTTCAGGGCATCCAGGGCTATACAGAGAAATGTTGTTTTGAAAAAACAAACAAACAAACAAACAAACAACAACAAAAGCAGAAGACTACAATCATTCATCTCTCAGATCTTTTCCATTTATATTTTTAAGTCTGAAGTCTTGACTATGGTTTACTCAGATCCCAGAGAACCAGAATTGTTGTAGTAGCATCTGAGTCAGGTGTGTGGCTCAAGCCTATAAAATCCTAGTCCATAAAGAGGCTGAGGCAGGAGGATTTCCATGAGTTTTATGCCACCCTGAGCTACAAAGTGAGTACCAAGCAGCTTACATAGCAAGACCCTGTAAAACAAAATGTGTGTCTGTGAGCGTGTGTGTGTGTAGGTCAGAGGATTTGTAGGAGTCATTTCTTTCCTTCTACCATGTAGTTTCTGAGGATCAAGGTCATCAGGCTTGGTGACGAGCTCTTTTGCTCTCTGAGCCATCTCACCAGTCTCAGATTTCTATTTTGAAAATAAGGAAACTAAGCCCCAGCAGTTAAGTGGCTGAAGTCTGTATGATTAAGGCTGTCTCCATCCATCCCTGTGGTATCTCATCAGTTTAACTGGTTGTACACACCAGTGAAGGGAATCATGAGCACTTGGGTGATGAGAATTCTTGTGACCTGGGGTGCCTATGCTATCTTCAGAATGTCTCATGTAGCTGCTAGAAAGGAAAGGTTTGACACTGGGTCTGTGGAGCTACAGCATCTTTTCAGTTACTGTGCTTGCCTGGGGTCCTATAAACAGGACATAACAGGGTCAGGAGGTCACCTGAGACTGGACTGAAAGGATGTACCATCAAAATAAGCAACATCGAATAGAAAATAAACAAACCAGGGGACAGTTTGGGATGAGCAGGCAAGGAGGCCAGGCTAGTGTCAGAGGGCGGTGCCAGTCAGGGCCTGGGGTCACTTCTGTTCCTACTGGAAATACTGCTAGGCAAGAGGCCATAGGCTCACAGAGCACAAGGGAGGAGGCCAGGGAGAGCTCTGGGATAACGAAGCTAGAGAAGATATTTAACCATTGGTTGGGAGTTACTTCCCCACATTTGATCTTTTTATTTAATTCTTCCCTTACGAAACTCTGATTTAGCTGGGCACATATCTTTAACCCCAGCACTCAGTAGACAGAAGCAGGCAGATCTCTGTGAGTTTAAGAGAGGTCTACATGGCTCATTCTAGGCCAGACAGGGCTATATAGAGACTTTTTCTCAAACAAACAAACAATCAAAGAAATACAGCAATGAAAAATAAACTTCTCTTTTAGAGAACGTATGGACACCAATCGCTAGTGACACAAATAAAGGAGAAATTTGTTATGTAGACCAGGTTGGCCTGGAACTCACAGATCTTCCTGTTTCTGCCTCCTGAGTGCTGGGGTTAAAGGTGTACACCCGGCTAAATCAGAGTTTCTGAAGGCAAGAATTAAAGCAAAAAGATGGGAATGTAACCCCTGTCCAATGCTTTAAAATGTCTTCTCTAGTTTTGGCATACTAGAACTCTTCACAGTAATGTTGATGGTTCAGGGCTGGATAATGGTATCTGTTGGGTTATCCTTATGTAGGCTAAGGTTATCCTTATGTATCCTTATGTTTGCCCAAGACTAGAGACATCTTTAGAAGTGGAAGAAAAGTCAAGGAACTGTTATACATGGCAGTATGACTATGTTAAAGACAATGTTTAGAGTGAATGGACTGGTGTAGTTCCTTGCAGGCTGTTCTGCTGGAGGGAGTTCCTTCCCCTGGCCCTGTCCATGCCTTTCTTTCTCCATATGGTTGCTATCAGGCTGTGCGGTTGCTGGCGGAATCTTTATTTATTTATCCCAGTGTAATGGGGTGAGGAGGGAGCTGGCCTGTGGTTGGCTTTCTGAGGCCATGCCACTGAGCCACAGGCGGTTTGCATGGGTGTGTGAGTCACTGGGGCTGCATGCTGCTCAAACCAGACTTGGCCAGGCTCAGGGACAGCAGGCAGCCCAAAATAGAGCCCCTCCCTCTGCAGCTGGCAACCTCTGGCTAGGAATCAGCCCTTGACACCAAAACCTGGGCAGCTGCACGAAGTACGCTTTCTCTGGGTGGGGGTCCAGCACACCAACGACTCCTATTGCTGTATTCTGAATGTCTCGAACACTTAGATACTCTCCGGCTATATTATGTTTGATGGCAATAGTTAGCATTGATCTGACTCAGTATCCTAAATGTAGCCATAGCATAGTCTGGTTCCAGCCTATTCTAGAGCATTACTTATATAAAGAAGATATCCAGGGGTGGTGGAGAGATGGTTTAGTGGTTAAGAACACTGGCTGCTCTTCCAGAGGACCTGAGTTCAATTTCTAGCACCCACATGGCAGCTCACAGCTGTCTGTAACTCCAGTTCCAGCACATCTGGCATCCTCATACAGACATATATGCAGGCAAAACACCAATGCATATAAAATAAAAGTAAGTAAAATATTAAAAAAAGAAAGAAGATACCCACTGCTGCTCTTCCTACGTTTGAGTTTATGTCAAAGGCACTGAGGAAAGTTGGGGAGACTGGCACCCTGGAAGCTACTGTCCTGTTGGGTACATCCACAGGGGGTTCTCC